GGTTACCAACGTAAATAGAACAGTAAACAACTATTCTTGCGTCATACCTGTGGTATATTGTCTGAGCATCCAATCAGCATCCAGGACCCAAACTACCCAGTTTATAACAGGAAATATACCACAGCTAAGGGCTGTTCTTATGCATCACACGGCGTAAGCATCTGCCTCTGGTGCCAAAGGTTGCATGTTTGAATCCAACGATAGAAAGTTGTTTTTGAAATTTTTGTTTTACGCCTATCCCAAACCTTAACACTTACCTTAACCATTTTAACTTAAAATTTGGAGTTAATGGCTTAACTTAACCTTAAACACTTCGAAATTTGACATTTGGAACAACTTCGAAATGTGATGTTTGAGAAACATTGGATGAACGTCTAATTCTAACATGAGACTGTGAGAGCTTGTTGCACACACACACACACACACACACACACACACACACACACACACACACACACACACACACACACACACACACACACACACACACACACACACACAGAAAGACAGAGTCAAAGAAACTCATTTTCATCAAAACACAAAACACCAAACACCATAATAGGAAAGTTACTGTAGATGAAGAAACAGCAACCATCAAAATACTAATTTTTCTCCTACAATTTTGGAAATCTAATTAACTTAATAAAAAAATCCCCATCAAAATCCATCTGTTTAAGCTAGAGATACAATACATATACACAAGTATGTGAACACCCCTTCAAATTAGTGAATTCGGCTATTTCAGCCACACCGTTGCTGAGAGGTGTATAAAATCGAGCAAACAGCCATGCAATCTCCATAGACAAACTTTGGCAGTAGAATGGCCCGTACTGAAGAGCTCAGTGACTTTCAAAGTGGCACTGTAATAGGAAGCCAACAAGTCAGTTCGTCAAATGTCTGCCCTGCTAGAGCTGCCCCGGTCAATGGTAAGTGCTGTTATTGTAAAGTGGAAATGTCTAGGAGCAACAACGGTTCAACCGCGAAGTGGTAGGCCACACAACCGCACAGAATGGGTCCGCCGAGTGCTGATGAAATGGGTTTCCATGGTCGAGCAGCCGCACACAAGCCTAAGATCACTATATGCAACGCCAAGCGTCGGCTGGAGTGGTGTAAATCTTGCCACCACTGGACTCTGGAACAGTGGAAACGCGTTCTCTGGAGTGATGAATCACATTTCACCATCTGGTAGTCCGAAGGACGAATCTGCGTTTGGGGGATGCCAGGAAACGCTACCTGCCTGAATGCATAGTGCCAACTGTAAAGTTTGGTGGAGGAGGAATAATGGTCTGGGGCTGTTTTTCATGGTTCGGGCTAGGCCCCTTAGTTCCAGTGAATGGAGATCGATGTGGAAGTACTTGACTGGCCTGCACAGAGCTCTGACCTCAACCCCATCAAACACCTTTGGGATGAATTGGAACGCCGACTGCGAGCCAGGCCTAATCGCCCAACATCAGTGCTTGACCTCACTAATGCTCTTGTGGCTGAATAGAAGCAAGTCCCCACAGCATTAATGCCCATGATTTTGGAATGAGGTGTTCGACGAGCAGGTGTCCACATACTTTTGGTCATGTAGTGTATCAGTTTTTTTGCATGGGCTGCATCTCAATCCACCAATTCCGCCGATATCGCCCTTCCGCATCTGGGGTGAAAGGTAGCGCTAGAGCGGTATTTGTCAGAACATGAGACATCCTGAAAATCGGTCATCTCACGAAGAACTTCTAAAGCGTCCGAACGGTTTGGCCTAATAAAAACTATTATGCACATGAGGCTGCTGAGCGGAGGACGGCACATAATAATAGCTGGAATGGAGTGAATGGAATGGCATCAAACACAGGTAAACCATGTGTTTGATGTGTTCGATACCATTTCATTTTTTCGGTTCCAGCCATTACTATGAGCCCGTCCTCCCCAATTAAGGTGCCACCAGCCACCTGTGCTATTATGACCACTCTGTGGAAAGATGAGACTTGACAGGACTGGTCTGAAGTCGATACAGGCTCTTCTGCCAACTTCTGTCTGTAGCGTCCGAACAGTTTTGGGCTACACACCTCTGTGGAATGGTGAGTCTCTCACAAACACGTACTGTATATGTTCGTACTGTATATGTCAGTACAAGTAAGATGGCGCCGACAGACATGGCAGCTCTGCTTCTAGCTCCTAAGCAACTTTGCAGTATTTAGTTTTTTTGTGTGTTATTTCTTACATTATTAGCCCAGAACGTTTTTTGTGTTATTACATGCAGCCGGAAATAACTTTTTCATATCAGAGTGGCGGTAATTCACCAGCATTACAACCAGGAATACGACTTTCCCGAATTGGATCCTTTGTTTGTACCCCCCAGGGCAATTTAACTTATCCCAGAGGCTGCTCCAAGACGCCGCGAGCGGAGAAGAGGTATTTGGAGTGGACTTCTAGTCCGACTCGGGAGGAGTGCACACCATCCACCGCTTCCGAGTATATTACTCGCTAATGTTCAGTCTCTGGACAATAAAGTAGACGAGCTCAGGGCGAGGATCTCCTTCCATAGAGACATCAGGGACTGTAACATACTCTGTTTCACGGAATCATGTCTTTGTCCATACAGCCAGCTGGGTTCTCAGTACTTCGCGCAGACAGGAATAAAGAACTCTCCGCGAAGAAGAAGGGCGGTGGTGTATGTTTCATGATTAACTACTCATGGTGTGATTGTGATAACATACAGAAACTCAAGTCCTTTTGTTCACCCAACCTAGAATACCTCACAATCAAAATGCCGACCGTATTACCTCCCAAGAGAATTCCCTTCGGTTATAGTCACAGCCGTGTATATTCCCCCTCAAGCCGATACCACAACGGCCCTCAAGGAACTACACTGAACTTTATGCAAACTGGAAACCACATATCCTGAGGTCGCATTTATTGTAGCTGGGGATTTTAACAAAGCAAATTTGAGGAAAACGCTACCGAAGTTCTATCAACACATTGACTGTAGTACTCGCTCTGGTAAAACACTAGACCACTGCTACTCCCCCTTTCAAAATGCCTACAAGGCCCTCCCCCGCCCTCCCTTCGGCAAATCAGATCACGACTCCATTTTGTTCCTCCCTTCCTATAGACAGAAACTCAAACAGGAAGTACCCTTGCTAAGGTCTATTCAACGCTGGTCTAACCAATCGGAATCCATGCTTCAAGATTGTTTTGCTCATGCGGACTGGGATATGTTCCGGGTAGCCTCTGAAAATAACATTGACGTATACACGGACACGGTGACTGAGTTTATCAGGAAGTGTATAGGGGATGTTGTTCCCACTGTGACTATTAAAACCTACCCAAACCAGAAACAGTGAATAGATGGCAGCATTCGTGCAAAACTGAAATCGCGAACAACTGCATTTAACCATTGCAAGGTGACTGGGAATATGGTTGAATACAAACAGTGTATTCCCTCCGTAAGGCAATCAAACAGGCAAAACGTCAGTACAGAGACAAAGCGAAGTCGCAATTCAACGGCTCAGACATGAGACGTATGTGGCAGGGTCTACAGACAATCACGGATTACAAAGGGAAAATCAGCCACGTCGCGGACACCGACGTCTTGCTCCCGGACAAGCTAAACACCTTCTAACCCTCGCAAGGCTGCCGGCCCAGACGGCATCCCTAGCCGCGTCCTCAGAGCATGCGCAGACCAGCTGGCTGGAGTGTTTACGGATATATTCAATCTCTCCCTATCCCAGTCTGCTGTCCCCACTTGCTTCAAGATGTCCACAATTGTTCCTGTACCCAAGAAAGCAAAACTAACTGAACTAAATTATTATCGCCCTGTAGCACTCACCTCTGTCATCATGAAGTGCTTTGAGAGGCTAGTTAAGGATCATATCACCTCTACCTTACCTGACACCCTAGACCCACTTCAATTTGCTTATCTCCCCAATAGATCCACAGACGATGCAATCGCCATCGCACTGCACACTGCCCTATCCCATCTGGACAAGAGGATACCTACGTAAGAATGCTGTTCTAAACAAGCGTTTCGCTACACCTGCAATAACATCTGCTAAAAATGTGTATGTGACAAATAAAACTTGATTTGATTTTGATTTGTTTTGCTCTAGGATGCCCACAAGCCTCACAAGACTTGTCTGAAGGTCCCCGGTACCAGTTTAAAACATGAATGGAAGTATATATGGAGATAGTTTAGTGCCTACAAAAGGGGTTAAATACATGTAAAAAATGTGTTTCCTGATCTTTCTTATATCTCTCAGATATACTGTAGGACAGACACTTCAGAACAAACTTCCCTTTCATTTTTTTGGGGGGACTATCTGTCATTCCATGTAGTGAATCTGTTATTCAATGCGTTTCAATGAGCTAATAGCAGTAATGCCAAATTCAGTGTTTAATAAAATATTTTTTAAATATATTTTTTTGATACCTTAAGGGGTCTTACAATTCAAAATCAAATAGCTAAATGATCCTTGGTATGACCATCTTAAAACAATTCCATATGTTAGTTTAGTTTAGTAGAACCCAACCCCCCCCCCCTGCCTTAGCAGCATTTCCCTAACTCGGTCCTGGGGACCCTAAGGGGTGCCGTTTAATTTATTTTTACACTACACAGCTTATTCAAATAATCAAATATTGATGATTAATTGATTATTTCAATCAGCTGTGTAGTTCTGGGGCAAAAAACAAAACATGCACCCCTTGGGGTCCTGGGCGGCAGGTAGCTTAGTGGTTAAGAGCGTTGTGCCAGAAACCGAAAGGTCGCTGGTTCTAATCCCCGAGCCGACTAGGTGAAAAATCTGTCGATGTGCCTTTGAGCAAGGCACTTAACCCTAATTGCTCCTGTAAGTCGCTCTGGATAAGAGCGTCTGCTAAATGACGTAAGATGTAAACGTAAGCACAGAGTTTGGGAAACCCTGCTCTAGAGGGTTATGAAACAGTGCCCATCAAAATACTCATTTATTTATGTCAGCTTAGCCGCATACATTCAGTATTGTGACACAAATTGCTCCAGACCTGTCACACACCACCCCCCAATTGGAGAACCTGGATTGGTTACTGATGAGGGAGGAGTCATCTGGGTTGTGCCCCCTCAGGAAGGAGTCTGTACAGACGTCACACTCGGTCCGCCCTGTGGCAAAGTTCCAGTATGGAACAGCAAATCTCTCATTGCCAGTCAGTCTCTGCAGAGGACAAATTATTCAGATGCACTCATTCTAGGAAGCTGACATTTTCCCAAGTACATATTCATATTGTGTAAATAAATACAACAATTAAATGACCTTTACACCCTTACCTGCAGATCTCTCTCCAGGCTGAGTATGTGGTATCTGTGCCAATTTATAAAGGCAGGTCCTTTGTGGGAGAAATCAACGTCCAGTTGCTAGAACAGGTGAAACATTCTAGTCTTAGAAGTGCAATCATATCCATAGAAGTTGAATTGTTCAACATTGTGCACATGTAAATGATTGTCATTATAATGTATTGTTTGTGTTTGCTTGTTTGTTTGTTTTTGTGTGATGGCTCACATTCCCCAAGGAGTGTCTCTGACAGAGTAGTAGTGCTGCCATGTAAAGAAGTTGTAGATGGAGATGTTGGAGAACTGGGGCTGGGTTCCATTGGGCCCCAGCAGGTCCAGCCAGTGCTGTGTGGCAATGACATAGTCTGGGTGGGTGGTGTTCTTGGCCCGGTCCAATACATCCAGGAACTCCTGGAGCTCAGCTGGAGTCAGAGAGTGGATGTTCTTCCTCACCACTGGGGATTTACGCATGTCACAGTTTGGTCCTTTCCAGCCGAACTTACACTGGCCACAGTCAAAGCCACCAAAGTTACCTAGACACAGGGAGGGAATATAGATCATAGCTTATAGCTATACTGTAAAACATACTAATACACTTTTTATATTTACTTAATGCGTGGGGAAAAAATAAAATAAAATACAGATATCTTAGAAGTGTGCAGTTTAACATTTTCAACATTATAATTTATAATTTCAGTACTTACTGAAGCACCTCCAAGTTTGATTAAAACATGTAGTTGGCCACCTTTCATGGTCATCTCGGTTTCTCATTCGAATTGGTCCACCCAATTTTGGTTTGGTACTGACTCTGATGCCGGAGCAGTTTCCTCGTCCAGATAAAAGTCCACAAATGTTAGCAGGATCAGAGCCGAGGGCAGGGCAGCACTGCTTTGAGACGATCCCTTCCACCGTGCTACACACTCGAGGAAACTGAGCCTCTGTAGAACCAGACCATGTCACTAAACAGACCAACCCCAGCACAAGAGCCCTCATCGTCTTCAACACTGCTGTAATCTTCTACCTTCTCCCTAAAAATCGATTTGTACACCAGTTCACAGCAATGATGTGGTCAATCAGTTCCAATAATACACAGAGATGGAACTAATTCAATTTGATGGTCTTCGTCTTTCCCATTTTCCAGAAAATAAATCTTCAAGGCTCACTTTGGAATTTCCAACCAATTCAGCACAATGACAGATAGCATTGACAGAGGCCTCCAGGCCTACAATAAGTTCAACCGCTCTTCCCAGGAATAATTGTGTTAGCCAACTAAAATTTCTATGGACAAGTGAAACAAATACCCACACGGTGTCTTTTTAGAGCCCAAGGTAACAATGTTGTCAGTATGTTTGCACAATGCTCGCCCTCAATTAAAGATCCTGTGGTAGCAGATGAGATGCACAGTAACCGAAAAGAAAAACAAGTGGACCTCCAGACAATTGATTCGATTTTTTTCCTCATATAATTCATCTGATACCCATCCACAGAGATACCACAGTAGCAAGCTATTTTACATCATTCACACCACGCTCAACTCTACCACTGCTTTCTAAGACTTCCCTCTGGCAGCAGGTATAAACTTCAACCTCAACTTTGGTGCCTTTACAGCAAAAAACGCGTAGTTCAGTAGGAGTTTCATCATAAACAATTTGAACATTTGAAATAACTTTTTATCATCTAATTCTACCGTTCTCTGTTTACTGTTATCGGGTCTTCACTGTTTAACATATAGAACTGTAAATGTAAATGTCTGAGGGAGGGTTTGTTTATTGGTTTATTTATTTCTTTGTGTGTGTACTTTTACAATTGACATCATCCAATGGATGACTAACCTTTAACGTACTGTACTCAACAACGGTATGTAACTAGTCACAATGGAATCATCTCATAGATCGCTAAGGAGCTCTTTTCAAATCATGTGTTCAACTGAATGTTTCCCAAACCTCAATGGCTATGCACTTTTTAACAAAACAAAACAACTTTAGACAGTGTGCATATGCTTCTCATACAGAATGCACATCATATTATATCTTGTTTAGAAATGCATTACCAGTTTACTTCCATCTAGAAGTACAGTTTCAAGATATTTCTCCCCACAAACAATCACATTTTCTTGGACAAAAAAAAAATCCTGTTTGTTTACCATTCATTTCAATAGATCTTCGGAGCACTTTGAATGAATTATGTTAAATCTTTCACTGACGCTTTTGCATTAAATTGGGTTCTATATGAAACAGTTCCCATTTCACGACATGCTAAATTGTAATTATTTTGTAATTATTTGGCACTATGGCCTATTTATTGCCTTACCTCAATAACTTACTACATTTGCACACACTGTATATAGATTTTCTGTTGTGTTTTTGACTGTATGTTTTGTTTATCCCATGTGTAACTCTGTGTTGTTGTTTTTATCGCACTGCTTTGCTTTATCTTGGCCAGGTCGCAGTTGTAAATGAGAACTTGTTCTCAACTGGCTTACCTGGTTAAATAAAGGTGAAATTAAAATTAAAATAAAATACAAACCCCAAAGCCTCAATTGATACACATGGTGGTGCTAGAGAACCATCTTTGGGGCAGAATCAGCTCCTTGAAATTCAATGGCGTGTACTGGAAAATAAGTATTTGTGGGTATGTACAGTGGTATAAGTGAATTCTTATGTGAAGCTTCACTGTAGTCCAGCACTCCGATGTTACAAGGTAATATGTTACCATTTTGTCTTGCTACAGCTTGTCACTGTAGTCCAGCACTCCAATGTTATTATTATTATTTTTTGTTTTTCATGAGCATGGCCTTATTTCTATTACAGCATATTGGATGACTCATTCATATTCCATTCACTCAGTTCAATGTAACAGCGATAGGTTTAGGCTTCTACATTATTCTCTAATGTTCCCTATACCCATCATGACGTTGCTACAACCTGGCCTATGAATTAAAGTTTACGTTCAGTAGGTGCTCACAGGTCGAGAGACACATTTGATGCCACATACAGCGACACATGGACAGACAGTGACATTCAATACCGCCTTGCACACTCTTGCCTGCATCTAGCTGATCTAGGGTGTAATCATTAGTCCAACAGTTGCAAACGAGAGTTTCTATTGGACAAATTCAGGTATGTTTATCCCCGTTCTGTTCCGTTTGCTTCCGTTTAAGAAACGTTTTTCAACAGAGTAGCAGTATATCCAGGTACATGGGTTCTATTCAAACTGAACATGTATTCGTTTTCTCCTGAGATTTTGCACCTACTGATGCCTAAACTGGTCCTGATGTCCTGAAGTTACACTAAATTCTAAGAAAACACTGGAAATACTCAGGAAGTGTTTTTAGGACCTGTTAAGGGCACAAGAATGATGATGATTCCTAGAAATGGAATGATCAGTTCTTGAAAATCACTCCTCGTTTTTTTTTGTGGGAGAAGAGTAGTAAAAGGAGATGCAATTGAAACATCATCTGCCATATGAAAAGGAAGATTCCGTAAGCATTTGGATAGAGAAAAGCCTTTGTCAGTACGGCCCTTATGGGCGGCAGGTAGCTTAGTGGTTAAGAGCGTTGTGCCAGTAACCGAAAGGTCGCTGGTTCTAATCCCCAAGCCGACTAGGTGAAAAATCTGTCGATGTGCCCTTGAGCAAGGCACTTAACCCTAATTGCTCCTGTAAGTCGCTCTGGATAAGAGCGTCTGCTAAATGACCAATTATTATTATATTATATTACGTTGGTCTCCCTCCACTCTCTCAGAATTAACGGTAGACCTCATTATAAGGACCTGTTTGGAAGAGATTGTTTGGATTTACACTACCGGTCAAAAGTTTTAGAACACCTATTAATTCATTGTAGAATAATAGTGAAGACATAAAAACTATGAAATAACACATGTAGTAACTAAAAAAAGTGTTAAACATATCAAAATATATTTTAAATTAAGTAGCCACCCTTTGCCTTGATGAAAGCTTTGCACACTCTTGGCATTCTCTCAACCAGCTTCATGAGGTAGTCACCTGGAATGCATTTCAATTAACAGGTGTTCCTTCTTAAAAGTTAATTTGTGACAAGGTAAAAATTGGCGTTTGAGCCAATCAGTTGTGTTGTGACAAGGTAAAAGACCAAGTCCATATTATGGCAAGAACAGCTCAAATAAGCAAAGAGAAACGACAGTCCATCATTACTTTAAGACATGAAGGTCAGTCAATACGGAACATTTCAAGAACTTTGAAAGTTTCTTCAAGTGCAGTCGCAAAAATTATCAAGCGCTATGATGAAACTGGCTCTCATGAGGACAGCCACAGGAATGGAAGACCCAGAGTTACCTCTGCTGCAGAGGATAAGTTCATTAGAGTTACCAGCCTCAGAAATTGCAGGTCAAATAAATTCTTCACAGAGTTCAAGTAACAGACACATCTCAACATCAACTGTTCAGAGGAGACTGAGTGAACCAGGCCTTCATGGTTGAATTGCTTCAAAGAAACCACTACTAAAGGACACCAATAAGAAGAAGAGACTTGCTTTGGCCAAGAAACACGAGCAATGGACATTAGACCAGTGGAAATTTGTCCTTTGGTCTGGAGTCCAAATTTGAGATTTTGGTTCCAACCGCTGTGTCATTGTGAGCCGTGGTGTGGGTGAACGGATGATCTCCGCATGTGTATTTCCCACCGTAAAGCATGGAGGAGGAGGTGTTATGGTGTGGGGGTGCTTTGCTGGTGACACTGTCTGTGATTTATTTAGAATTCAAGGCACACTTAACCAGCATGGCTACCACAGCATTCTGCAGTGATACGACCATCCCATCTGGCTTGACCCAACACACCTCCAGGCTGATAAAGGGCTATTTTACCAAGAAGGAGAGTGATGGGGTGCTGCATCAGATGACCTGGCCTCCACAATCCCCCAACCTCAACCAACTTGAGATGGTTTGGGATGAGTCGGACCGCAGAGTGAAGGAAAAACATCCAACAAGTGCTCAGCATATGTGGGAACTCCTTCAAGACTGTTGGAAAAGTATCCCAGGTGAGGCTGGTTGAGAGAATGCCAAGAGTGTGCAAAGCTATCATCAAGGAAAAGGGTGGCTATATGAAGAATCGCAAATATAAAATATATTTTGATTTGTTGAACACTTTTTTGGTTACTACATTATTTATTTCATAGTTTTGACGTCTTCACTATTATTCTACAATGTAGAAAATAGTAAAAATAAAGAAAAACCCTTTAATGAGTAGGTGTTCTAAAACTTTTGACCGGTAGTGTATATCCTTTGTATATAGCCAAGTTATCGTTACTCATTGTGTATTTATTATTACTTTTATCATTACATGTTTTACTTTTCTATTATTTCTCTGTTTTCTTTCTCTTTGCGTTGTTGGGAAGGGTCCGTAAGTAAACATTTCACTGTTAGTTACGAATCATGTGACAAATAAAATGTGATTTGATTTGGATACATGTACTGTATTCTAGCAAAAGTATGCTTCTATTGTGTATATGCCAATCCCCTTTAAAATTGTAGATGAGGAAGTATTAATGTTTTTATCCTTTCCATTTGTTTCACCTCGTCCCCATTATTAATGTAATATTACCCTTTGATTTTTCACTGAGGGATTGAACATTGTATGAGAACAATTTGAGCGCTGATGATTTTTCGAGCTGCTAATTGCACCGACGTGGAATATGCATGCAGTGTTGTCTTCTTTTGTTTGGGAGACAATGTTGTCCTCCGTATCAGCCCCAACGGAAGTGACACTGTTCTAAAATGGAAAGTTCCAAATGGGCCAGCGTTGCGTGAAGGGAAAGTGCTGCTCAGCCCTTTGAAGTGCTGCAAATTGACATTCTCCTTTAATAACATTTCAAAAGATATCACAGGAGGTAATGATCTCATTTCCTGAATGGACCCATTTCCTGAATGGCTATGTGAATATTCTGTCCAGTGTGTTGTGCTCTGCACACATTTGAAGGAATATAATGTGTTGGTTGGGAGAAAGAGGGCCTTTTCTAATGG